ATTAAGCTGGAATACTGTATGTCAGAAAATAACATCGCAGATCATTTTACAAAGGCCCAAGGCTCTGTAAAGCATAAGGCTTGCTGTGAGGATTATGGACTTAGAATGTAAGGTTGTATATATTGTCCTACCCAAAGGGGAGAATGTTAGGAATGTAAGTCACCTAACAGTTATTTGGGTTGGAAAATATATAAACCAGGATAGACATTTTAATACTGTCTCTTTAAGGGAACGCTAACATTATAATTGGGTGTGGTTCCCCAAACGGCCATAAGATGGAGCCAGAAACCTGGTTTGTCTTGTTCTCCTGTTGCAGAGAGTGTTGCCGTTCCTACATTTTTCCCTATTGACTGATCATAGTTCTTCTTGGGTTTGATGTAAGTCTGTTACTGAACTGTTTTTGATACTGGACTTTGATATTTGGATTATCCCTGGACTGAAAACTGACTGCTTTAACTGTGAATGACTTGGACTGTTTGTTGAACTTTGCTTAACGTTTTTACTGGAAGTAAAAACCTATATTTTACTATACAGTGTATCTGTGTGCTAGTGGTGTGTTATTCTTCACTACTCTCACTACATCTCCCTGTGTGCACTCATTCTCCTAATGGGGAATTACCTCAACAGAGGTCTTCTAGTCCAACCACCTACTCAAGAAGGAGGCCCTACTAAAGATTTTAAAACAGCAGGTTTCTATGATAAACTGACTGATTTAGATAAGATTTTGACAGGTACTGATGAAAAGGTGATTAAAAAATTGTATGGATATTTATTAGAAATTAAACTAGAAGAAGAACAAGTTAAAGAAACTATGATTGCTTGAGAGAAGAATTTTGGATATGGGATTGATCTAGAGAAATGGCAAAAATTGTGGTCTCAAAATTATAAAATGACAATGTCAACAGCATATAAAGAAAATTTGTATAAGATGTTTTACAGGTGGCATTTCCCCCCCGACAAGAATAGCAAGAATGTTCAAGAATAAATCCGAAAAATGTTGGAAATGTCATCAGACACCTGGCTCATATTACCATATGTGGTGGACTTGTGCGGATGCTAAAAAATACTGGACTAAAATCCACACGTGGTTGGAAAAAATGACAAAAAAACATATAGACATGAAACCTGAGATATTTTTATTGGGAATTTTACCTGAAGTATATAGTAAAGATTTGAAATACCTGATTGTAAATGTATTAACAGCGGCTAGGATTGTATTTGCTAAAAACTGGAAAAATGAGAAAATACCATCACAGGAGGAAATTATTAAGAAAATATTGGAATGTGCTGAAATGAGCAGATTGACATTTGAAATTAGAGAACAGGATGATAAACAATTTTATAAAGTTTGGGATCTATATCAATGGTTAGACAATAAGGTATAGTAACGAAATACGTAGACTTTTAGAAAATACTAAATATATAAAGATGTATTCTTTTCTTATTATATCTACAAAATGTTTTTAGGATAGATTTGGGATGATAATATGAATTGTCACAAAACAAATTAAGTAAAATATTATTTTACTACGAAATGGAAGCACAAAACAATTTGTAAACCAACCGGCACACTGTATGTACATATATGGATGATGGCCTGATGTTTTTATGTTTTGTTTGTTTATGTTTGTTTTAAAAACCAATAAAAAAAGGAGGCCCTACTACCATTGGTGTCCAACCTTGGAAGTTTAAGACTTGTGGACTTCAACTCCCAGAAGTCCACAGGTCTTAAAGTTGCCACGGTTGGAGACCCCTGGTCTAAAGGCACAGAAACTGCAAAAAAGCCTGGGGTGGTCCCGTGTTGCGTCCCCCACCCCTACTCGTGAGGAGCCTGATTATTTTTCTCTCTTTTTGGAAATTAAAAATAATAATAGATGCAGGTAGTCCTCAACTTATGACCAGAATTGAACCCAATATTTATGTTGCTAAGTGAGGCTTTTAAATGAACTTCGCCCCATTTTACAACCTTGCCACAGTTCTTAAATGAATCACCGCAGCTGCTAAGTTAATGACGCGGTTGTGAAGGGAATCCGGCCTCCCGTATGACCTTGGCTGGTCAGGAGGCCGCAAAAGGGGATCACATGAGCCCTGGGACACGGCAACCGTCATAAATATGAGTTATGGTGACCCAGTGGTTAGAGTGCAGTACTGCAGGCTCCTTCTGCTGACTGCAGGTCGTCTGCAATTTGGCAGTTCGAATCCCACCAGGCTCGAGGTTGACTCAGCCTTCCCTCTTTCCGAGGTGGGTCAAATGAGGACCCAGAGGGTTGGGGGCAAAAGGCTGACTGTGTAAACGGCTGAGAGAGTGCTGGGAAGTCCTGGGAAGCTGTATATAAGTCTAAGTCCTATTGCTATTGCGAGCTTGAATTTTTATCGCGTGACCATGGGGATGTTGCAATGGTCATAAGGATGAGAAACGGCCATAAGTCACTTTTTTCACTGCTGTTGTAATTTGGAATGGTCACTAAATGAATTTGTTGTAAGTCAAGGACTACTCATGGCCGGATACGTACCCTGGGTGCTTTTGTCACTTCAGGAAGAAAGATCTCGCTGCCTTCCAACAGTTCATGAAGATACACCGGAGAACCTGAGAGAGAGAGACAAAGCAAAACAGAGGCCAAGGTTTCCACCGGACATTCTGGCCCCGAAGGGTGCAGGGCAGGCAGTAGAGCAGAATGGAGCCGCTCTTCTCAGACCAGTGCAGAGGGCAGGCTTGCAAGTTAATCCCCAAGCAAAGCCTGAACCTGGCATTACACAAATGATTGCAAAAAAAAACTGTGATCGGAGAGGGACCCGCAAGCGTCGCCATTTAAAAAATAGGCCTCACCCCCAAAATGTCACGCTTCCATAGGACAGCCATGGCCTCTCTCAACAGCAAAGCTGTTAGTTACAGTTCATTTTTTCAAAGTATCAGAGCTGCTTTCCTTAGATTAATCCCGGTGCCATCATTTATTTCTTAAAATGCAGCCAACTTGAATCACTGGGCACACAAGCGCAGCAAAATGCAGCACAGGCCACCTGGAAAACAACATTCTGGCACCCAAGGAGTCCTTTGCTACCTTGGGATCATTGCAGAGGAGGGCCAGGGCCTGCCTTCTGCCCGGAAATTTGCGTTAAGTCCTGGAAACAACCACATCTTAGAAAGCAAATAAATATCAGCCTAGAATTCTTAATGGTACAACAACAGGGTGAATCATACAGCACGTTATAGAATCTTGTAGGGCAGGAAAATAATTCTATTGGTTCTAAATTGCGGGGAAGAATGAAACCCAGGCTTCCCTCTCAGGGAGTTACTTAAAGCACATGTATCAATCTCCTACAGAGTTGTAACGTAAAATCAATATTTTTGAGTTTGGGGGCATTTGATCTTTTGGAGTCAGATTTCGGACAACTTCCTGGACAAATCTTTGTAGATTCCTTGGCAACATCCCCCCTCCCAAGTGATTTGGCAATGACTGCTTTCTAGAACTCTCTCTCTCTCTCTCTCTGTGCATGTGTGTGTGTGTGTGTGTGTGTGTGTGTGTGTGTGTGTGTGTGTGTCTGGCTCAAGGTCACCCAGCTGGCTCCTTACCCAAGGCAGCCATCCCGGTTTCTAGTCTGGTGGCTTTGCAACATTCCCAAGCGGCTCTCACATCTCTGGAGATGAAGGTTGGTATTTTTCAGGGGCTCCTTCCTCCTAAGCGAGGTTTCCCATTAGAGTGTGTTGGAAGTGACCCCACCCTCCTTTGTCTCTGGGACATGGGGGGGGGGGAGATAAGACATCTTCCCAGTTGCAAAATTGATACCAGCCCTTTGAGGTAGGCCAGATCAGGAATCCTAAAAACACTTTGACAGGCTGTCCTGGACCTACGACCATTCGTTTAGTGACCTTTTGAAGTTGCAACGGCTCTGAAAAAAGTTGCTTTATGGCCGTTTTTCAATGACGACGACAGCAATCCTCGGGGTCACGTGGTCAAAATTCAGACTCTTGGCCACTGACTCGAGTTTATGACGGTTGCAGCATCCTGGGGAGGTCATGTGATCCTCTTTTGGGACCTTCTGACAAAGTCATTGGGGGAAGCCAGATTCACTTAGCAACCTTGTTACTCGCTTAACAACTGATCAGAATAACAGAACCACAGAGTTGGAAGGGACCCTGAAGGTCATCTAGTCCAATCCCCTGCTCAAGCAGGAGACCCCATACCATTTCAGATAAGTGGATTGCCTGCAGTTTCAACTGCAGTGGTTCCCCTAATCCCTCTGGCAAGGAAGGTCATAGAATGGGGGCAAGACTCGCTTAACGACCGCCTTGCTTAGCAAGGGAGGCCTGTGGCTCAATTGCGGCCGTAAGTCGAGGACTCCTTGTCTTACGGGACCACGGGGATCAATCCGAGCGCGCCTCGCTACCTTTGCCCTACGAAGAACCAGGGAGCCCTCCCGTGGCCTGGGCCTGGCTGGGGGCGGCGGGAGCTGAAGCCCCCGGGGCGGAAGGAGAGACTCACCGGCCGCCGGGGCGCCCTCCTCCCGCAGGGCCCGCTGGAGCTCCCGGAGGAGCGCGAAAGGCAGGCCGCCCTCGGCCAGGGCCGCCGCGAGCTCCGCCCTCAGCGCTTCGGGGACGCCGCTCGCCGCTGGGCTCGATAAGAACCGGCGGAGCGGCTCCCCGGCCTTGAGAGACGACGCCATTTTGAGACGGTCACATGACCGGTGGGACTTCCAGCCGGGAGGCGGCGTTGCCGGGGAGACGGGGCAGTAGAAGAGGGGGACGCCTCATCACCCAGAAGCAGCTTCCGGGTCCCTTCTGGCCCCATCATCTCACCTTCCCTTCCAGCGCCCTCTAGAGGCGTCGGCCGGGAAGACGAGCGCGGCCGGCTATGCAGGGATCTATCCGAGCTATCTTAAGCTGCGAACCCGGAAGCTGCCTCTCCGTCGCCGAGCGCGCTCCTCTGTTTTTTCTTTCTCCTTCTCCCCGTCCTCCCACGGCGCGCGCGAAAGGCCAAACCGCTGCGCGGAAGGACCGCGCGGGGCATTGTGGGTCGCGGCGGGCCCCGAGAGACGCCTCTTCGCTCGGGCCGCGGAATGGCGGCGGCGGCGGCGGCGGCGGCGACGAGTCGGTGCTGGGCGGCGCTGGGCCGGGCGCGGGCCTCCTCTTCGTGCCTGCGCTGGGGGCTGCGGGGCCCGGCCTGGGCGCCTCTCGGGGCGAGGCCGGAGCTGCTGCTGCCCCCGCGGCGCTGCCTCTCCTCCCGGTGGGTCGCCTGCGGGCGGGGCGGGGCGGGGACGGGACGCCGCTCGACCTAAAAGGCCCTGGGGCTCGTTCGGCCTGCGGGCCGCGAGGGCTTTTCCCGGAGGGACCCTGAAGGTCATCTAGCCGAGCCCCTCCGTCCCCAGCGGCAGCCCAGGCTCTTCCGAGCGGCGGGCGCAGGGTGGCCCCGAGGACGGAGTTCTGGCTTCCTCGGCTGTTGGCAGCGGGGGGGGGGGGCCCGGCCGGGCCGCCCCCCCCCCTCTCGCCCGGGCTACTCCGGACGCCCCTTGCACGGAGCATGCGCGCGGGGAGGGGGCTGACCCGGGTCGGTGGGCTTCATATTGTGGGCAGCATCGCCCGGGTCGTCGTCCCCATCCCCTCCCTCCCCCCTCGCTGCCTGCGATGTCGGGGGTGGGGGCGCAGAGGAGGGGGGGGTCTTTCCGGCGTCTTTATGTAGGACCCCCCCAAAGAATTTAGGAGTAGATGCTCCCAGGTAGTCCTCAACTTACGATCACAATTGAGCCCAAAATTTCCGCTGCTAAGCAAGACGGCATTCAAGTGAACTTTGCCCCCTTGTGCGACCTTCTTTGCCACGGCTGTTAAGTGAATCCCTGAGGTTGATAAGTCAGGAACAGGGTGGATAAGTGAGTCTGGCTTCCCCACCGACTTTGCGACGTCAGAAGGGGGTCGCGTGACCCTGGGATTCCACAACCGTCATAAATACGAGTCAGTGGCCAAGCGCCTGAATCCTGATCACATGACAACAGGGGATGCTGCAACGGTCGTTAAGCGTGAAAATCGGTCCTAACTCCCTTTTCTCCGTTGTGGCTTCGAATGGTCCCTAAATGAGGTGTTGTAAGTGGAGGACCACCTGTACAGGCAAAGGCAGGTAGGGCTGGAGGTTAAGCCACCAGCTAGAAACCGAGAGAAGGGGAGCTCTCGTCCGGCCAGCCGGGTGACCTTGGGCCAGCCACACACATCCCTCAGCCCAAGGAAGCAGGCAGGGCCGAACGGCCGGGAGCATTGAAACCCGGTTCAAGTTTGCTAAACCTGGTTAATGCGAAGGAGGCAGGCAAGCAGGCCACACAGGATGGGTTGCAAGTGCCGTGTTGCTGATTCCTGGCTTATCTCCTGATCTTCAAAAGCTGTGGGTGACCCTCTTAAATCGGGGGGGTCTCCAACCTTGGCCACTTTAAGACTTGTGGACTTCAACTCCCAGAGTTCCTCAGCCAGCTTCGTCCCAGAAGTTTCCCCGAGCCACTGAGATGCCAAAGAGAGCGAGACTCGAGACGAGGCTTGCCCAAAATAGCAGCTGTTTATTTTGGCCCAAGCAAAAAGTCTGGGTGAATACAGACAAAATGCATGTAAGGAATAGCCACCCCTTGTCTAGGATCTTACACATTGGTTTAGCCCAAGGGTCTTCCAACTTGGCAGCTTTAAAACACGTGGACTTCAACTCCCAGAATTCCTGAGCTAGCATGACGGGAGGAGGAGGAACTCTGGGAGGTCTACAAGTCTTCAAGCTGCCAAGTTGGAAGACCCCTGGTTTACCCAATGAGAGACAAAAGTTGGTTATTCAGTGTGGGTGAGGTCTTGCCCCATGTCCTCCCCCATTCTTTGTCCCTGCTCTGTCCCTGCTCTGTTATCTTACAGGTATCCCTCGTCCTTGTGTGTTTGTGCTCCTAAGCAGCCCCCCCCCCCTTATCTGTGGAGCAGGATGTTCCTGGGAACCGTCTCCCAGGATGTGCCTGGCTCTGAAGCAAATTGCGGAAACCAGAAACCAGATAGAATTCCTAACAAAGGATTCCTAACCCTAGCGACATAGTACAAGCAACTTCTTTAACAAGCAAAGAGCAAAGGTGCTGGCTGAGGAACTCTGGGAGTTGAAGTCTGCAAGTCTTCAAGTCGCCACGGTTGGGGACCCCCTGCTCTGAGTTATTCCTCTCCGGGTTCAGCCAGGGCCACTCCCTGCACGTCTTCTACACTTGTGGTCGTTGAGAGTGTTGTGGTTAACCCTGAGCACATGGTGGTGCTCTTTTACTGCCTCTTCCGCTGTGGCCTCCTGGCGTTCCCATGGCCAGAAGGAGCTTAACTGGCGGGGACCGAAGGGGGACCCTCGGCCTGGAAGGGCCTTTCGGACGCTGCTGTTGCTCGGGTCGTCCTTTGGGGCCCTGCCAGGAGGTCTTAACGCCACACTTTCCTTTCCCCAAACCCTAGGAATCGCCCCGAGGGCAAAGTCTTGGAGACAGTCGGGGTCTTCGAAGTGCCAAAGCAGCATGGCAAATATGAGACGGGACAGGTGAGTGAGTCAGGTGGATGGGAGAGCTTCGCTCCTGTCCATAATGGGGAGCAACCCCCCCACCCCACCCCCACCCCGAGGCAGAGGTGCCATTCCCTGGTCAGGTAATGAAATGTCTGGAAGAAAACCACCCAGCTCAGAGAGCATCAATCGTTGTCATCACCTTCTTCCTCCTCCTTCCCCCCTTTCTCCCTTTCTCTTGAAACCCCACTTTCTCTTAGCACCAATGATGTTACTTCAGTCATGAAATCTCTGGAAAAAAAGAAAGAAAGAAACTTTCATCAAAGACCCCACAGTCATCCTCCTCTTCCTCTCCACAAACCTCACTGTCTTCTAGCACTGATGATGTTACCTAGTTGGCTCTTGAAATGTCATCAAGAAAGCCACTAACCTCATAGAATTACCATGGACCCCACAGTCATTGCTCTACACACACTCTCTCTCTCTCTCTTTCTGATATTTTTCTTGGTCTCTAGGATCTCTGAACTGGGTCCAAGCAGAAGCTTCTGCAGTATTTTTCTTCATACATTTGTTCATTGCAATTGCGGAGAATATCTGCAGCCCAGGTGTAGGGTAAGGGTGAAGGTTCGTTCTCCAAGCTCGTGGGTTGGTTTCCAGACATTTCGTTAGCAGGCAAGGCAGCATCTTCAGCAGAGTTTAGGGGATGATCCAGCCCCACGAGCTCAGAGAAGGAACCTTCACCTTCACATTTCCTGGTTAGCACCTTAAAGAAGGGTCCCCTCCGGGCAGTTTGTATCACATGGTGCGAGCCAGTTGGGTCTAGTGCAGTGGTTCCCAAAGTGGGTGGTACCGCCCCCCGGGGGGGGATGCCTTAGGGGGGCGGTAAGAAGCAAGGGGGCTGGCAGGGGGGCGCTAAGAGGCGGCAGGGGGGCGCTGGAGGTGGGCACAATTCAGGGTTGAGATTTTACCAGTTCACAAAAACTGTTGTTACCGTTCCAGTAGGTTGAAGAACCGGCAAAAAGGGCCCCTGGCTGGCCCTGCCCCCTCCTCCATTTTCTGCTGTCAGTCCTTATTGCGCATGCATGAATTGCATGCCTGCGCAACAATCGACAGCATTTCCCGCCCGCCCCGCCCAGTCACTCCTTATGTAGTGCCTGTGCGCTCGTTTCCCATTTTCCCGCCCGCCATCGCTACCAGCACCAGCCAGCCCGCCCGGCCTCCCCACCGCCATTTGATCTAGGTGAGTTACGCTCTGCAAGCCCACTGCAGCTTTCCTCCACTTTCCCGACGTGCCTGCCTCGAACGCAGCGGTGGCGGGAGTGGAGGAAAGCCAGAGTGGGTTTGCTCTCCTTTTCAAACGTCCCACCGCAGCTGCATTCGAGGCGAGGCCCCGCAGGCTCACCCCATTAAGCCCCTTGCACCGGAGCGTGCAGCAGTCAATGGGGTGAACCTGAGAGAGAGAAAGAAAATAAAGAGAAAAGGGACAGAAAGAAAATGGGACAGACAAAGAAAGAGTGGGGTGGTGGTGGAAGGAAAGGACAGAAAGAAAAAGAAATAAAGAAGGAGGGAGGGAGGAGAAAGATAATGAGGTATCTATTCTAGTCCAATCACCTACTCCAGCAGGGAGTGTGTGTGTATGTTCTCCTTGTAATTTACCAGTACATTTTGGTTTTGCCTTCTTCAGAATTGGCACCGTAATACATTGGGGAAAAGTAATTTTTTATGGTGGAAGTCTGGTCCAATGGATCCTGTTTAAGCCTCAACAAAATGTGAGAGCTTCCTGATAGTCTTGGCCATGTTTCGTCCACAAAGCCTTTAATTACTGTAATAGAAGCCAAAGAGGATTCAATGTGCTGGCAAAGTTGCTGGCAAAGATGTTTCAATGTGGGAAAGGGCCTCTAAACTAGGCCTCGTTTCAATCTGATGCATCAGCTCTCTCTGTCTCTTTCTCTCTCTCTCTCCCCTCCCTCCCCCACTCTGTCCCTTTTCTTTCTTTCCCTTTTCCCTTCCTTCTTTCTTTTCTCTCTCTCTCTTTATCTCTCTGTTTCTTTCCTCTTTCTCTCTTTCCTTCTCTCAGGCTCACCCCATTGATTTGGTGCACCGCTCCGCTCGGACGTAAAACAAATGAACAAGAATCAGCAAAGCATCTCTGATTAGATTCTATTCACTACTAGAATCTAATCAGAGATGCTTTGCCGATTCTAGTCCAATGACCTGCTCCAGCAGGGTGTGTGTGTGTGTGTGCATGGCTGTCAAAACTCCAAAAACAGGTCAAGTAGCTCTGGGGAGGCCAGTCATAAATTAAAACACTTGCTAAGCAACCTGCCATTAAGGGAGGATCACTTGTATTTGGTTTGCCAGTCACCAAACCATGCCCAACCAGTCACGTGACCAGAAAGCCACGCCCGCCCAGTCACATGACCAGCAGGGCATGCCCACCCCAGTCACGTGACCAGCAGGTCACACCCACCCCAGTCATGTGACCAGCAGGCCGTGCCCTCAAATTAGGCCACGCCCACAGAAATTTGAATCCCGCCCCTGGGTGGGGGGCACTGAGGATGAGTTTGTAGCACCAAGGGGGCGGTGGACTGAAAAAGTTTGGGAACCACTGGTCTAGTGGTTAAAAGGCTGACTTGGAGACCAGGAGATGGTGAGTTCTAGTCCTGCCTTAGGCATAAAAGCTGACTGGATGACTTTGGGCCACTCCCTCCCTCTCTCAGCCCAACCCACCTGACAGGACTGTTGTAATGGGGAAAATAGGAGGAAGGAGCATTGGGTATGTCTGCCACCTTGAGTTATTTATAAAAGTAAGAAACGTAGGAGATCGATAAATATGTTTTGTAAGCCATTCCTTGCTTGGTGGTCTGGGGTGCGTAGACAGTAGAAATAATCAATTTCGTGGTATGCATGATACACAGTGACAATAACGGCTATTGTTCTTGTTATCATCCTCATCATCGTTACGTGGCCTCCTGGCAACCAGGAAGTGAAGAGGTTGCAGCTGAAAATACCCCCCTGGGATTTAAAGGCCTGGGCTGCTTAAAGCCCTTAGAATGGATTTGGGAGGATTGTCTGGAAAGCGAAAAGGGTTTCAGGGCCTTACCTTCCTTGGGCTGCTTTGAATTGGGAGCGGCTGGTCACCAGCCGGGATTCTGATCGGCTGCACGGGGTGACATGTCAGCGGACAGGAAGGGAGCCCTGGACCTTCCTGGGCCTCCCCTGCCCCCTCGGAGACCCTGCAAGTAACCGTGAGCCCCCTCACACCCGGAGGCCCCCTCCCCCAACAGCTGCTTCAGAGGGGGGCGTTTCCCTCCCCTCCTGGATCTGAGCCCGCTGCCTCTTCGTCTCCCCTTCTCTCGCAGCTCTTCCTCCACAGCATATTCGGATACCGGGGGATCGTCCTCTTTCCTTGGCAAGCCAGGTTGTACGACCGAGACGTCGCTTCTCCCGTGCCGGAAAAGTGAGTGTGGGCCGTGTAGGTGCTGGCAGGGACGTGTGGAAGCCTCCACGCCCCTTATTGTGACAGGCAGCAAAGGGTCTCAGGGCAGGGAGGCTGCAGAGGTGAAGACAAGTTTAGCTTTATTGTCCTTGCACCTCGTACAACGCAATCACACACCACCTTCAGTGCACATCATGACCATGAAAATAAACACAAACACACATCCTTCACACTCGACACTGCACTATACAGCAGAATTCAGAAGAGCTCCTGCCCTGGGATAGAAGCTTATTTTCAGCCTATTTGTCCTTGTTTTTAATATTCTGTACCATCTACCAGATGGTAATAGTTCAAAAAACAAAGATTGCCCAGGATGAGATGGATCTTTGAAAATGTTCTGAACTTTCTTAAGGCAGCGGGAGCTATAAAGCTCTTCCAAAGAGGGGAGAGGGCAACCCAGGATCCTCTGGGCAATGATGTTCACCCTCTGGGGTGCTTTCCTACCTGCCCCTGTGCAATTGGCAAACCCTACACAGGTGCAGTAAGTTAAAATGCTCTCTCTGGTGCAGCGGTAGAAGGTCACCAGCAGTTTCTCATTCAGTAGTTGTTTTCTGAGAAGCCTCAGGTAGTATAATCTCTGCTGGGCCCTTTTGACCAGGGTTACAATGTGGGCACCCCAAGTCAGGTCCTCTTTTAGGGTAACACCCAGAAACTTAAAACTGGCCTCTTGCTCCACTCGGTCTCCATGGATAAGCAAGGGATGGAGGTCTGATCTGTCCCTTCTATAGTTCACTATCAGCTCCTTGGTCTTGTTGGTGTTGAGGACCAAGTTATTGTCTCCACACCACGAAAGCAACCGTTGTTGGTCCACCTCATCTCAGTAGGCAGACTCATCCTGCCCCCTGGAGATGAGTCCCACCATTGTTGTATCATCTGCAAATTTAGCAATAGTATTAACTAGCGTGAGCGGGAAGGCAGTCATTGCACATGAAGAGTACAGAGTAAGGGACTCAACACGCAACCCCTGTGGTGTACCAGTGTTAAGGGCTGAAGAGGTATGATTACCTAATCTGACCCTCTGTGAGCGGCCAGACAGGAAATCCATAATCCAAAGGCCGATTGAATAAGAAAGCTCAAGGTCCAGAAGTGTAGACACTGGTCTATGTGGAAGAATTGTGTTAAACGCAGAACTAAAATCCACAAGAAGCATCCTCACATAGCCCCCCCTCCCCCTGCTGTTCTAGATGGGTCAGAGTTGTGTGAAGAGTGATGGCTATCGCGTCCTCTGTAGATCTATTTTTTCTGTATGCAAACTGGTGTTTATCAAATGTGTGCGGACGACCAGAAATGATGTGCCGGCAGAGCAAGTGATTCTGAAAGAAACATTTATATCTCCTATCCAGTCTGTCCTTCTGGGACACAATTTGTTTTCATTAAGTTTTGTAACATGGACCCAGTGCCTCCTCCTGCAGGGACTTAGCAGGCTAACTTTTGCACGGGGCAGCAGCCATGGGGGCGTTTCTTACAGGGACAACAACATCAGGCAGTGCTGGGTTTGGGTCTGTTTGGGTGAATTCAGACTATAAGGAAAGAGAGCGAGAAGCCTCTGGGCTTCCTTAAGGCTTTGGGCCGCTCTTGGGCGTCTGGCTCAAGGCACGGCTGGACGTAGGTGCAGCGCACAGGCAGCCCTCAATAGGCAGCCATTAGTGGCCGTGCAGAATTACGACGGCACTGAAAAAAGTGACCTACGGCCATTTTTCACCCTTACAACCATTGCAGCATCCCCACGTGATCCAAATTCAGATGCTTGGCCACTGGCCTGTTCTTACGACGGTCACAGTGTCCCCTTTTGTGACCTCCTGACAAGCAGAATCAGTGGGGGAAAGCCAGATTCGCCTAGCGGTCCTGTTACTGACTCTACAGCTGCAATGATTCACTGAACAGCCGTGGCAAGAGAGGTCGTAAAATGGGACAGATTCACTTAATCCCCTCGCTTGGCAACGGAATGCTGGGCTCCGTTGTAAGTCGAGGACTGCCTGTGATTGCGGTCAGAAAGCGGCTTTTTCAGCCTGGCCCTTCTTGTTCCAGGAGTGAGTCTGCAGCTGGACATGGATCCAAAGAAGTGAAAGGCAAGACACACACTTACTATCAGGTCCTGATTGATGCTCGCGATTGTCCACACATAGTAAGTGCTCTTGCCTGCCTTCCCTGCCTTCCCTCCCTCTCGTCTTCTTTCCTGCCTCCCTTCCTCCTTTCTCATCTTCCTCCCTCCCTCCTTCCTTCCCTCCCTCCCCCTCTCCCTTCCCATTCATCATATTACTAAAATCAAAGTTACTCCAACTAACAAATGCTTGGGGGCAAGGATGGATTTCCATCACATTTTACGATCACCTTAAGATCAGTCAATTAAATTCACGTTTTTGGAGGACATTTCATACATCTGGATCACAGACAAGGTGACCTTCTAGGTCAGAGGTCTCCAACCTTGGCCACTTTAAAATAGGTGGACTTCAGCTCCTAGAATTCTCCAGTCAACGCAGCCGAAGTCCACAAACCTTAAAGTCGACTGAGGAATTCTGGGAGTTGGAAGTCCACAAGCCTGAAGGTTGCCAAGGTTGGAGACCCCTGTTCTAGACCCTGGACAGGCAGGCTGTTGGCCACGGGGAGTCTTTGGGAAGGAAATGGACATGAACAAGCTCATTTTGCAACTAGGAGTAGAGAATGACTTTGAGGTGCTGAAATTAGAGAAAAGCAGGTACTCTAAAATACCAACTGAGGCTTTCAAGGGCTCAGCCATGGAAACGGACAGATGGTGAATCAAGGGGAGAACATTCTGCAAGTGGCTGCCCCACCCCCCCCCCCCCCCCCAACCCTGGGGCCTTAAGGAAACCCCCGCTCAACCCCCCCCCCCCCCAATGTGAGAGTCCACCGCTGCTAATCGCATGGCAGGTCCCATCCCTGTCTCGGGGGAGAGGGGGGCATTGGGAGGCCCCTTAGCCCTGCACTCAAGAGTGCCAGCAACAGGGGAAGGCAGGCAGGCCAGCGTTGGAAAGAGCAGCGGGAGGGCCCCAGGGGTGCAGTCTATCCAGCCCGCCTCCCGCAGGCTTCCTCAGATCCCAGCCGCCCTGGCTCTGCCTGCCTTGGACCGCAGCTATCACATCCCGCCCTCCTCGTTTCTTCCCCAGTCTCAGAGATCCCAAACGGAAGCCGTGACGTTCTTGGCCAACCACGACGACAGCCGAGCCCTCTATGCAATCCCAGGTGAGCCAAAGGGAGGGTGGGAAAGTGGGGGTGAAGAGCCCTTGGCCACCCTGGAGAGGAGGGGGCTGCGGGGGAGGCCAGGTCCCAGAGGGCAGGCCGTGAAATGGCCCCCCCAGTACAGGGAGGCGGTTGCTGAACGAAAGGTAGGAACCAAGAGAGGAGAATCTTCGCAGCTCAGGGTGGAAATGAGGCTCCTGGGGGGCCTCTGAGCTCGGTGGCTTTCTTGCAGACGTTTCAGGACCCAACTAGGGAACATCATCAGTGCTAGTGGTGCTAGACTAGTGATGTTACATCACCACTGACCCTGATGATGTTCCCTAGTTGGGTCATGAAACGTCTGCAAGAAAACCTCCAAGCTCAGAGAACCCCAAGGGCCATACAGTCGTCACCCTCCTCCTCTCCTCCTCCATTCCACAAACCCCACTCTCTGCTCGCATTGAGGATGTTACCAAGTCTGGTAATGAAAGGGTGGCAAGAAACCCTCCAAGCTCAGAGAGCGCCAAGGGCCCCTCACGAAAGATAAGGAATAACCGCCGTTGGACGGGGGTGAGCTGACCCAGGAAGGCTGGGCTGCCTGTCCGGAGCGGACGTGCGGTCCCCTTTTCTCTCTGCCTTTCTGAGCCCATTCCGCCCTCCCTCCCTTGGCTGGCCCCAGGTAGCCTGAAAATGTTTTCAGCCTGGTCAGTCGAGAGGGCTGCCCTGCTGCCCCTCAACTGGAAAAAGGGGTGAGGGGCTGCGTTGTTTACTGGGGCTGCTGCCCTCCCATCCCCCCCCCCCCCGTGGTTAGCACAGATGCTGAGGAAGCACCAGCGCCGTGTGAGTGGGGGTCCTTGGTCAGATTCCCTGGTTGCTGCGTGCAGAGATGGAGAAAGTTGGGAGGCGTTGGGTCAGCGATGGGAGGGGGCGGGGACTGCACAGAGCTGCTGACCCCACACCTGGGCGGGCAGAACCCCCCCCCCAAAGAAAACAATTAGTGAGTAAAACTGTCAGCTCTGGAACGGATTCTGCAGCCAGATCCTTTGTACGAAGAGGCGGAGAGGAGCCCCTGTTTCATGCCAGGCACAACCTCTAGTACCCCCCCCCGGCCGCTGGCCTTCCCTACGTGGCTGGCCTTCGCAAGGCCCCTTTCCGGCCCCTGGGAGAGGAACCGGCCCCAGCCCCTCCTCCTCCCCCTCCTTAGGACTGGACTACGTGAGCCACGAGGACATCCTGCCCTACACGTCCACGGATCAGGTGCCCATCCAGCACGAGCTCTTTGAACGGTTCCTCCTCTACGACCAGACAAAAGGTACGTGCCCCCCCTCCCCCCCCCCCCCCGGGCGCAGGGCTGGCCTTGGGGGGGGGGGCTCTCCTCCCACAGGGATTCTGAGGGGTCCCTCGGCCTCCCTGCAATACTGGGGGTCCTGATTGAGCCCCAAAACTCCCATCGCTCAGCCAGGCAGTGCCTGAGTCAGTTGCTAAGCGAAGGGAGCCGCCTTCAAGCCGCCTGCCTTCCCCGGTTGGCTTTGACCCCGGGACCCCCGGGAGACGGCAGCCGTCAGACGTGCAGGCCGAGCGCCTGGAGTTTGATCCGGTCACCCGGGGGTGGGGGGGGATGCTGCAACGGCCTCAAGTGTGGGAAATGGTCGTAAGTCCCTTTTTTTTTTCAGGGCTGTTGTAACCCTGAAGGGCCACTAAGTGAGACGCCGTGATTCAGGGTCTCCCCTGAGGCCTTTTTAGGCCCTGGCTGGCCAGGTGAAGGGCTCAGCGCTTTGTGGCAGCGGCGCTGTTGGGGTGGCTCCCGCTCAGCTCCTCAGGAGCCCAGCCTCGGGGGGCTTCCCCTGAGTCCACCCTGAAGGCAGTTTTGCTTGCAGGTGGTCCTTGACTTACAACGGGCCCCACAAAACGTCCTTGGGGCCTGGCTCCAGAGCCCCGATCGCCAGGGGCCCCCCTTGACCCTCAGTGGCTTTGGGTGCTCATTGCCTGCATTCGGACGACTCTGGTTCGCGGCCTCTTTTTCTGGGAAGTGGGATTTCTACGTCCCGTTTCTGCCCAAAGCCCCCCACACACACCGAGGACAGTGGGCCTGCCGACTGACCGTTGCCCGGGCCTGGTCTCACGTTGGGGGCTGGGGTGGGCTCCCCTCTGCTGACCACCTCCTCTTCTCTCCAGCCCCCCCGTTCGTGGCGAGGGACACGCTCTGCGCCTGGCAGGAGAAGAACCACCCGTGGCTGGAGCTCTCCGACGTGCACCGGGAGACCACCGAGAACATCCGGGTCACCGTCATCCCCTTCTACATGGGCATGCGGGTAGGCGGGCCGCTCCCTGCGCCCTCCAGGGCCTGCCTTGCCTGGCGTGTCCCTGCAGTGGGGGGAGCGGGAAGGATGGGGCCCAGCGACGAGGGAGGGCGCGGAGGGGGCAGAGCACAGCAGCCCAGGCAGTCCTCCACTTACGGCCGTCTGGAGATGCAGCGGCACTGAGGAAGGGGGCCCAGGATCGTTTTTCACACGACTCTGGCCGCCTCCCCACAGTCACAGGCCGCAAGTCAAGGACTGGCTGTAAACAGAGAAAAGACGAGAAGGTAAAGAAGAATGTAGGTTCACGATAGAGAAAGAAGTAAATACGCCGTAGCATCCAAGTCTTAGCAGATCCATAGCAGTGGGTGGGATTCAGAAACTTCTACTACTGGTTCCGTGGGCGTGGCTTGGTGGGCGTGGCCATGTGACGGTGGGCGTTTCTTTTTTCTTTTTTGCAGCCCCCACCCATTTTGGGGAGCTTCTTAGCCCCAGAGGAGCCTCGGGGGGGGCGTTTTTGCCCCCCCATGGCTCCTCCCTCCATTTCTGGCCTTCCTGGGCCTCCGCAAGGGGAATCTGGCACAGCTGATCTTATCT